TAATACTCAAATTCAGACTCAAGATAATGTTTAAACACAAAATAATCTGAATATTTTGCTTTCATTGGTAACATTGGCAGTTTATCAGGCACCGCCTACTATTTAAAGCTAACTACCTTATACTGTAACACTTAGTCCACAAATCTTGCATGACTCTTCGATCCGTAGGGTTAGTGTAGGTTATCAAACTCTATCCCTAGCTCTTGCATCCCTTCCTCAACAAGCACCTGTTTACAGTCATTGGTGCTGAGCACCACATGCCAATTAAACCCCTCTTTATGATCCTTAGGATTAGTTGTGAGATAGGTGAGGTGAAATTGGGTCTAACGTTGTGCTTGAGAATATTTCGCTTATATGACGACAAGCATGCGTGTGTATGTGTATATGCGGCTGCTTGTACTAGTCCAGACTTAAGCTGGATTTATAGTGCTAGCCCACTGAGATACCATGCCGCGGTGAAGCATGATTAGCCCACTCAGACCCATTATACTGACTCCGAGGAGACCAGTCCTTGTTGTGCCCATTAATGCCGAGCGCCAGGCAGGGACCAACAAGTACCATATTTTAACGTCTTTTGGTATGACGCGGTCAGGGATCGAACCCGTGACCTTCCGCTGTCTGGGCGGACGCTCTAACCACTACACCACGGAGGCGGTCAGTTGTGAGATAGATATGTTTATTGTAACAATGCAGCTGGCGTAGTCCTTAGTTCTATATTTGAAGTTTCAGTTTGTGTGTGTGTTGATCCTTAATCTTCTTTTATAAATTTCTGTTAATAATGTAATGCAGATGGAGTGGATATGAAATGAACTGTGACAGTCTTTCTAATTGTCTTTTCGAGACAGAACTCTAAAACCCGTTCAATATTTCTTCACCAAACTTGGCACATAGATAGATCTGGTGGTGTACTGGTGCCTTTGGTAGTTTTGGAATTCTGAATAAAATATTTTTGGCATTTCCATGGCAACAAGTTCGACTTAGACTGAAATTAGTGGTAGTGCTCTTTTCGAGACAGAACTCTAAAACCGTTCACTATTTCTTTACCAAACTTGGCACATAGATAGATCTGGTGGTGTACTGGTGCCTTTTGGTAGTTTTAAATTCTGAATAAAATATTTTTGGCTTTTAGGTGGCAACAAGTTTGACTAAAACAGAAATTAGTGGTAGTGCACTTTTCGAGCAAAACTCTAAAACCGTTCAATGTTTCTTCACCAAACTTGGCGCATACATAGATCTGGTGGTGTACTGGTGCCTTTTGGTAGTTTTGGATTTCTGAATAAAGTATTTTTGGCATTTCCATGGCAACAAGTTTGACTTAGCCTGAAATTGGTGGTAGTGCACTTTTCCGGAGCAAAACTCTAAAACCGTTCAATGTGTCTTCACCAAACTTGGCGCATACATAGATCTGGTGGTGTACTGGTGCCTTTTGGTAGTTTTGGATTTCTGAATAAAATATTTTTTGGCATTTCCATGGCAACAAGTTTGACTTACCCTGAAATTGGTGGTGAGTGCTCTTTTCGAGACAGAACTCTAAAACCGTTCACTATTTCTTTACCAAACTTGGCACATAGATAGATCTGGTGGTGTACTGGTGCCTTTTGGTAGTTTTGGAATTCTGAATAAAATATTTTTGGCTTTTCCATGGCAACAAGTTTGACATAGACTGAAATTGGTGATAGTGCTCCTTTCTGGAGGAAAACTTTAAAAACCTTTCAATACTCTCCTTCCACTTTTCTATATACACACCTAAATATTTGACATAATCATAACTCGTAGACATAATCATGAAGAGTATTTTGCCATTGCGGGGGATATTGATGACCTTGTCTTCTTGTTCATTTCCAGATCAACATTGACACAATGACAAAGCATCCACTTCTAGCTATATCTGCATCAACCAGTCACTCTTGCCAGTGATTGTCTTCTGCAATTGATTCTGCAACCATGACTGACACCATCAAAGAGTGTGGTAGCATCGATCATCTGGGGGTTCCATTGATGATGCTGTTTTGGGAGCGAGGAGAGTCTTGAATCTAGATGCTGACCTCCAGGTAGAAGAATCTGAGAAGAAATCAAATGAGCAGCTAACAACTCTTGCCCGCAGGCGACTGGAGAAAAACAAGCATAAAGATGTGGTCAAAGAACAGTAAGACTGTCATCACTTTTCATTTTGATCTTGTCAAGTTTACAAGGGACTGACTGACTGACTGAGTTTAGTTTTCACGCCGCTTTAGCAATATTCCAGCAATATCGCAGTGGGACACCAGAAATGGGCTTAACACATTATTGCCCATGTGGGGAATCGAACCAGGCCTTTGGTAGTGAGTTTACAAAGGGAAACAGTATTTGCTTAGTCATCAAGATAAGCAGAGTGCAGTGATGACAGTGTCTTGAAATAGCTACTGGCCCTTTATCCCATGCTAAGTAAAAATCCAGTGGGGCCAGTAAATCACTGGCCCGACTGCTAGTGAATTTTCATAGGGTCATTTGGTAAATGTATCACTCTCTCTGACTTGTTAAAGTTATAATACACTTAAAAATCCTGCAAGATTATGGCCTGATAAAAATGTTCATCATACTAGCAGCTTAATGATGAAACCAGGTCATGCCGACAATATTTTATTCTGATCTATTTTGTAATCTTTTGCTTAGTTTCTATATTCAAATTTCGATCTTGTGGATTATTTTGTGGGCTAGTAACTTCCAGGCATAGCTAGCAAGAATGGCTAGCAAAATCTGGAAACTATTTGCATGCACTGGTGATGACTCATGCTTTGTGCATATTCTAAATTATTCCACGAACACCAGGTGTCTCAGATCTGAGGAATTAAAGATGTATCTTCCCAAACTATCTTCCACAGGAGATATTGCTTAGGTTCTGTGATGTCTCTTCAGAGATATCACTTCTATGAAAATACATCACAATGCTTTGCAGACCCTTGTATGATGTCACAATTAACTGACATCACTAATCTCTCTGCTGTTGGAGCTGATAAGCTGTGCGGTTGACATTCAAGAAATTAGGTATTATTCTGTATAATCTTGGAAGTTGAACTTTTGTTGATAATTTATTTATCATCAAAATCATTAATACCAACTTTGAATCTGGAAACATATTGAAGTCTGATTTCCACACTGTGATCGATAGTGCTGTAACGATGCATCAAACTATCGATGGATTGCAATTGTTGAGTCTCTGATAGCAATTAATCAATGGTAGAAACAAAAAACTGTCGATGCATCGATAGTATGTGTTTAGTAATTGACTTCTGTTGATAATGCTCAGTGCAAAATACAGGAAGTACCAGATTCGTTCACTTTGAGATAGAGTTATCTGCTCCTGTTACATCTGAAACAAACATGGCGGCAAACACATGTGACTCACAGTTTGAAATTGTGATTAACAATAAGTTTATGAAATACCCAATGCCATTTTAGAAAGTGGTCAAATGTAACATATGTAATATTTGGGATTACACTAAGTAATCTTAAGTGGAAGCAGCGGTGGCTGAAGCGGTCTAGGCGTTTGACTTTGTGTGCTGGCGAATAGGTGCCTGACTCTGAGGGTGTGGGTTTGAATCCCGGATGGGACTCAACCCCAAAAGTACTAGTATCTGTACTTTACTAACTAAGCGTAATCCCAAATATAACATATGTTAAATAAGTTTATGTTTTAACTGTTTACTCGATCTGGGTTTCAAGTTTCTTGTCAGTTATTAAAGAGACTGAAACAACTTCAACTAGTCTTTTTCATATAACTATACATTAGTTTGGGAAATGACTTCAAAATGAGACAATTCAAAGGAAAAAAACTATTGGTTGCAATAGTATGTTGCAATAGACTATAAGCTATAGTTGTTTCCCCTCAATAGCCACCCCTAATGATGAGGCACCTGTTGAGTTTTAGATAACCAGGGTCGGGACACAAGATGGAGAGGTTATTAATTTGTGAGAGTTTTTAAAATAAATGGCAGAGGCGTTGCTAAGGAAACTGACTCTATAACCTATTTATAGCGATATGTTCTGCCAATATTAACATTGAGCCAATAATAATGAGAGAAAAAGGAAAATCACAGAGTGAACTAATTTTTGTAAAACAAAGAATCTCATCCAGTGACTTTTTATATATCAACTGTTAACAATAAAAGTTATGTTGTCTTTGTATGAAGGCGTGGACTTTATCAGATACCCTAGCATAATTCATTTTATTCATTCCATGCCTTGAGATGTTTTTTGATTTTGTTTGCAGCGTTCCCAGAGTAACAAATCAGAATATTTATGTGCTGTGCATGGAATGGTGGTGTCTGCTGGGTAAGAATAACATTACTATAAAGGGAGATAACTAAAATATCATAACATTCCTATGCAGCACCACTCACTCACTCACTCACTTTCGGTAGTATAGCGGTGGTAGTAAAACAGATGTCTGAAGATATCCTGCGATCTGAATGTGAATGACACTTGTTCATTCTATATTGATTTTTGAACTTGCTACAATTTGGCCAATGAGGCTTCATATTTTGCCAAAGTTTTTTGCCCTTGTAAATTTGTTATAAACGGAAATGTACAACTGGATTATGAATGACTTCATAAAGTTACTAATTGTTTTAAATATTGATTTAAACACAACCAAGACCGAAGTGAAGATCTGGTTTTAGAATAGATCTTCAGTAACCAATGCTTGTCGCAAGAGGCTGACTAACAGGATCCGGTGGTCAGTCTTGCTGTCATCATTATCCCAATTGTGTAGATCGATGCTCATGCTGTTGATCATTGGATTGTCTGGTCCTGACTCGATTATTTACAGACCACTGCCATATTGCTGGAATATTGCTGAATGTGGCATAAAACTCACTCCTCCGCACTCACTCACTCACTCCTCCTCACTCACTCACTCACTCACTCCACTCACTCCTCACTCACTCACTCACAGCCAAAGTGTCAAGGGCTTATAGGACTTCCTCCTGTGTTTCAGTTGAGCATCTTAAGTGTTCCACTACATGCTTCTACCCTGTATCTACTGGTTCACAGAGCTCATCTCAGGTCAGTGAGGGGTGGGCCGGAGGTCAGCTTGTTGAGTCCATTGCCTGTTATCAACTGTTGGTTTTCACTTTCTTTTCATAAATTGGTACACTTTAATCATCAACTGTTTCACGTCAGCATTCAACTTCATTTTTCATCAGGCATGTGTATCCCGTGCACGACGAGATAGTGGCTGTTCCGTTTCTGCGGTTTCACCCCGACAGATATAACAACTTTTGCGTTTTCAATGATGATAGTTTCTTAAACAACTTTTTTGGTGGAGTCGGAAAATTTTCAAATATAAGAAAGCTGTTGGGTATTAGTAAATGATAAACATGTACTATCTATATTTATGTGGCAATTTTGTACAATGATAAATTTTGCAATTCATCCGGTCCGTTTCTGACTCAAAGCGGACTGTAAATGCTTACATTAGTCTGATTTAATTATGTTTTTGATGATGGATTTATGATGTTATTTTATTTCAGGTGGTTCAGCTGACTCATGGCCTTGTTTGGTCATGGTTATCTCCCCTTCTCATGGATATTCAGCTCTCTGGGTGTTACAGCTGTTTGTTCTGTCAAAATAATCAACTGTTTCTGGTTTCAGGTAGGAATTGTTTGTTAAAGAACCACTAAACTTTGTTTTTGTTACTCTTTTAACCACTACATATGAAAGATTTGTGGTTAGTCTTATCTTGGAACTCAAATTTATTCTTTAAAAACTTGTGGTTAATTAATACCGGCGATTAAAAGTGGCCAAAATTAAGCCTGCTTCCTCTACCGCCCTGCATGAAACCACAGACAGGTTATGTAACTCTGTAAAGCCAGAGCACTACAGTAATGGCGTCATATGAGGAGCGATTTTCAGTTAGTTATTATAGAAAATGTGTATGCGCTCATCATTTTGATGATTTTCGACATCAACGGCGACATGCCGAATCGTTGCTTTGTCGTCAATTGCTCTCCTAGGAATTGAGGCGATGGTGTCCCCACATGCACAGATTTCCACAGGACCCGCAGTTAAGGTGCTAAATGGGTTATGTTTGTGAGTCTTGAAGCGGCGTTGTGGAAGCCTGAAGCGATATCTTACTTGTGTTCAGATGCGGCTTCACGGAAGTTAAAGAATCAAAACTACTTACTAGTTGTAGTAAAATATGCATATGATTGATGACCATAAAGATTTTCTATGACACAACTTGTAACATCACGATTTCTTCCTCCCGAAGTGAGGTTGTGATCAAGTAACAATAATATTGTAAGTAGTATTATATTGACACCCACCTAAGCTGCCACGAGGAGAAATTGTTATGATATCGCTATGTCATGCAAAATCCTATTGGCCATCAATAAAATACATATTTTACTACCAGTAGAAAGTAGTTTTGATTTTGTAACTCGGTGAAAACAAACCTAAATACCATTTATCCTCAGACTGGCCATTTTAAAAAATTAAAAAATCTGTTAGAATTAATGAGATTATAGTTTGTTTTCATCAAGTTAGAAAATCAAGACTACTTTCTACTCGTTGTTAAATATGTATGGAATCATAACAAAGCGGATTTTGCATGACACAACTTATAACATACTTGATTTCTTCCGGAGGCGAGGTGGGGGTCGAAGTCACAATACTGCAGCGATAAATTTCTTGCTACATTCCATGGTTAATGTCCACTCCACCAGCATGTAGATACTAGTCAATGCGTCTTTATATTTGGTCTTATAATCCTAATTAGTTTATTATCACACTTGTATGCATTTTGAAACTAAATAAAAGCAGGCGATCTGCTGATACTTACTGTGTAAGCGTATTATATTTAGCGCAGTTTTATTTTTGGCTTTTAAGCAAAACATTTTAAGCGAAAATTTATACAGCATGAATAAACCTGTCATTCATTCAGTCTAGCCCGCTTCAGCCCTGAGTTGTTACCATAACACATCACGTTTGAAGACAGAAATCAGCGGGAATCTTAAAATGACGACTGATCATACTTAACTGTGGCTGTAATGGATTTCCCAAAACATAATTAAATAATGAGCCAAATCCATTGCGAGATTAAGCGAAAACAGCAATGTGTGTTGTGGCCGCCATGGAAATTAGTCACATGACATGGTTTTGATACAAAACAGATTTCCATTGAAGCGATTTCGGAAAGAAATAATACAGCAGTATTTTATTTATTCATTAAGATTTTATTCACCAGTACATCATGAAGCGAATAGTCACTAACACTCAGTCATCTCATTCACAACAACCCGGCTTGTTTGAAATCACAAAGAGCTTCATATACAGTATAAATTAATTAGATCAAATCGTCAGAATTGAACATAAGACTGATGTGTTTTTCATCTCTTCGAGGAGTAAGCGGATTACTGGGTACAAATTATGCTCGCGCACAGATAGGGATTTCCTGTGAGTAAGCAATAAGCGCCCGCCCTGACAGGTTAAGCCCTCTGTTTGTTTTTCACTGCTATTAGTGGCTGACCAAAGAGACAGCTGGCAGTTCCGGCAATTACTGATTGCGCGAATAATTGACCGCGCGATGTAGTCTAAACTGTCAATTCCGCGAAAATTGCACCACGCGAAAATAAGTACGTTTACAGTATAGTGAATTTATAACAGAACTGTAATATCTAGACATTTGATAGTTTGCCAATGTGAATCATAATTCGCACACACACCCTAGTGCATGTTGTCTGTCTCATTACACTTCACGGCGAAAACAATGATTCTGTTGAATACTACGACAAATGAATAAAAACAAAATGCAAATATTAAAATTAAAACAGATTAAAGTTATAGGAACAATATCAGGCCATTACCTTGTTCGAGGGAATGTATCTATCAATATCCACAAAACTGTTCCAAATGATTGTGTCTTTTAACAGTTTAATAGAAAAAGTGATAAATCTTTTCAGGTATTGGTGTATAGTCTCATTGGTCACCCAAGATAGCACACCTGGCAGCTAATTGCATAATGTCCGCCTTTCTTTAAAACAGTAATTTAGTTAATAATAGCCAATAATGGGCAATCAATCAATGTATTGCCTGTTAATCCTTTGAAAGAAGGGCGTTGTTTTACGCAAAGAACACCGACGCGACAGAGTGCATTCAGTATAGATTAGTAAATCTACATACATAAACACTACCTTTTGACAATTCCGCTGTGTAAGATAAAAAGTAATTAATCAATCAGCGTGTTATCGGTTAATCCTTTGATCGATGTTTATAATGTTGAATATTTACTCCAGACACAAGAAATGCCAAATGGGAACCTTTGTCATGTAATCTAAGTGTGTTACCACTAATTATACCTGTTATAAATTCATTAACTGACCATCAAGTGAATGATGACAAATAACATGTGTAGGTTTATACCACCTAACACGGGTTACAAGAGGGAGTATTAATTGCTGTATTGCATGTGAAAACTTATGGGCGACACTGTTTTGAGAATACAAACAGATTTTTACATGACATGATTAAATATCGAGGTAAAACAACACAGAAATGGGATCAATTTGGATCAGTCATTATACAAATAGGGCCCTACTGACACCTGTCGATTTTTGACAGAATCGTCTATGAAAACAAGTTGTAACTTCGGAAACTAGGCAAAGCAGGAGACAAAATTAAATGCCAGTAGATTGTGAGAACATATAGCTTTCATTTTCCACAACAATTGTCCGCGATTTCAGGTTTATACAAGCCTGTAAACATGATAATTTACCCCCTAAAATGTAGATGAATTCTGCATCGGCTCTCAAAGCTATTCCTCATATGACGTCACAGAGGCGCGCCGCTCTGATTGGTTGAAATTTCGTTCTCGGGTGAGAATTGTGCACTGTTGTCAAAAAGGTCGATTTAAGTCAATTAAAGGTCGAAATGAGTAGTTTTAATGACGGGGTTTCATTTACTCTTGATGCCAGTTAAGTGATTTATGTATTTGTACCCCTAGGGTTTATGTGACCTTTAAGGACATTTTGTGTTTTGTCAAGATGGATTTGTCACACGAAACTTTATGGTTGCATGCACAGCTGTATCACCATGCACCAGCAACATCACAGTGGCTGGTAATATCAAGTCTGGACCTGGTGGTGGTGGAATTGGGTTTAGCATGCCGTGCTTGAGAATGTTTAGAAGCTCATATGACAATGTGCATGTGTGTGTATGTGTATGTGCAGCTGCTTGTACTCAGCCCAGACTTAAGCTGGTTTTATAGTGCTAGCTCCAGTGAAATACCATGCGCAGTGAAGCATGAATACCCCACCCAGACACATTATACTGACTCTGGAGTCGACCAGTCCTTGTTGTACCCATTAATGCCGGGCCAGGCAGGGACCAACAAAGTACCATATTTTGCGTCTTTTGGTATGGCGGCGATTCGGGATCGAACCCGCAACCTTCTGCTCTCTCGAGGCGGACGCTCTAACCACTACACCACGGAGGCGGTCAGTCTGGACAGGGACTGGCAATAAGAGAAGCGGTTCAAGGCATCAGGGCATGAGATGCAATCTGCAAAGCCTTCAGCTGTTTCTTGATATAATTGTCTCTTACAACAAGCATGAGGTCTTGCATAGTATAGCCATTGTCAATGTTCCATCTGTTCCAACAAAAGTTGGTGTTGTTGGGCTTTCATTTAGCATAATTGGGATGAGCAATCTACTGCTTGTGACGGGGTTTGGTGGCGAGCTGTCTAAACGCCAGGTTAGTGATCCAGCGAGCTTAAGGTGCCGGGATCGAGCCCACCTGTGACCGGGTGTAAAACATCTTGGAGTCAACTTTGTGTGCAGACTCCTTCAGTGTACCCCTCGCGTACAATACACAACCCCGTGCACTTAAGAGAACAGACAAATATGTTGGTAAATGACGACTGATTCTTTATCTCTATAACAGTGGTTGGTAAATAATCAATTTTGGACCAGGCAATCCACTGATTGTCATGAGCTTCAATGTACTTAATTGGGAAATAATGACAAGCAATCAAGTCAGTCAGCTATGAGCATGGAGCTTTCAGCATGATACTCATCATCATAGATTGGCTGGTCATGCTTTATACTCAGTTATTACCATTACTGAATGCATGAATACAAAATTTATAAAAAAGCATTTATCATGGAAATCTTTCTGGCATTTCTGTCATGTCATTGTTATTCTATACAATCGTGTTTTGCAAGTTAGCCCTATTTTTTGTGAAGACATTCATTAAATTATCATCAACTTTATTCAAACAGTCACATACATTGTATAAATCACAGTTAAAAAATGATTGATTGATTGTGTTTGTGTTGTAGGACATAGCAGATGCTGCATATTTGAAAATGCGAGGGAAACCAAAGAGCCTGACACTCAGCACCTTCATAGCTGACATGCTCTTCAGTGTCACGCTGCAGGCTTTCTTCCTCATACAGGTGTGTGCCATGGGAGGCTTTGGAGAGTTCTGCATGTTGTGTGGGCACTGTATGTTGTGATGGCTCTGTGTGGGCACTGTATGTTGTGATGGCTCTGTGTGAGCACTGTATGTTGTGATGGCTCTGTATGTTGTGATGGCTCTGTGTGGGCTCTATATGTTGTGATGGCTCTGTGTGGGCTCTGTGTGTTGTGATGGCTCTGTGTGGGCTCTGTGTGTTGTGATGGCTCTGTGTGGGCTCTATATGTTGTGTGGGCTCTGTATGTTGTGTGGGCTCTGTGCGGACTCTGTATGTTGGGATGGCTCTGTGTGAGCACTGTATGTTGTGATGGCTCTGTGTGGGCTCTATATGTTGTGATGGCTCTGTATGGGCTCTGTATGTTGTGATGGCTCTATATGGGCTATGTATGTTGTGATGGCTCTATATGGGCTATGTATGTTGTGATGGCTCTATATGGGCTCTGTATGTTGTGATGGCTCTGTATGGCTCTGTATGTTGTGATGGCTCTGTGTGGGCTCTATATGTTGTGATGGCTCTGTATGGGCTCTGTATGTTGTGATGTCTCTGTATGGGCTCTGTATGTTGTGATGGCTCTATATGGGCTATGTATGTTGTGATGGCTCTATATGGGCTCTGTATGTTGTGATGGCTCTGTATGGGCTCTGTATGTTGTGATGGCTCTATATGGGCTCTGTATGTTGTGATGGCTCTATATGGGCTCTGTATGTTGTGATGGCTCTATATGGGCTCTGTATGTTGTGATGGCTCTGGGGGCGGTGGGGTAGCCTAGTGGTTAAAGCGTTGGCTCGTCACGCCGAAGACCCGGGTTCGAATCCCCACATGGGCACAATGTGTGAAGCCCATTTCTGGTGTCCCCCGCCGTGATGTTGCTGGAATATTGCAAAAAGCGTCGTAAAACCAAACTCAGTCAGTCAGTCAGTCAGTGTGATGGCTCTGTATGTTGTGATGGCTCTGTGTAGGCTCTGTATGTTGTGATGGCTCTATATGGGCTCTGTATGTTGTGATGGCTCTGTATGTTGTGATGGCTCTATATGGGCTCTGTATGTTGTGATGGCTCTATATGGGCTCTGTATGTTGTGATGGCTCTATATGGGCTCTGTATGTTGTGATGGCTCTGTATGTTGTGATGGCTCTATATGGGCTCTGTATGTTGTGATGGCTCTGTATGTTGTGATGGCTCTGTGTAGGCTCTGTATGTTGTGATGGCTCTATATGGGCTCTGTATGTTGTGATGGCTCTGTATGTTGTGATGGCTCTATATGGGCTCTGTATGTTGTGATGGCTCTATATGTTGTGATGGCTCTATATGGGCTCTGTATGTTGTGATGGCTCTGTATGTTGTGATGGCTCTATATGGGCTCTGTGTGTTGTGATGGCTCTGTGTAGGCTCTGTATGTTGTGATGGCTCTATATGGGCTCTGTATGTTGTGATGGCTCTGTATGTTGTGATGGCTCTGTGTAGGCTCTGTATGTTGTGATGGCTCTATATGGGCTCTGTATGTTGTGATGGCTCTATATGGGCTCTGTATGTTGTGATGGCTCTGTATGTTGTGATGGCTCTATATGGGCTCTGTGTGTTGTGATGGCTCTGTATGTTGTGATGGCTCTGTATGTTGTGATGGCTCTGTATGTTGTGATGGCTCTGTGTGGGCTCTGTATGTTGTGATGGCTCTGTGCACACTCTGTATGTTGTGATGGCTCTGTGTGGGCTCTGTATGTTGTGATGGCTCTGTATGTTGTGATGGCTCTGTGCACACTCTGTATGTTGTGATTGCTCTGTGCACACTCTGTATGTTGTGATGGCTCTGTGTGGGCTCTGTATGTTGTGATGGCTCTGTATGTTGTGATGGCTCTGTATGTTGTGATGGCTCTGTGTGGGCTCTGTATGTTGTGATGGCTCTGTATGTTGTGATGGCTCTGTATGTTGTGATGGCTCTGTATGTTGTGATGGCTCTGTATGGGCTCTGTATGTTGTGATGGCTCTGTATGGGCTCTGTATGTTGCAATGGCTCTGTGTGGGCTCTGTATGTTGTGATGGCTCTGTATGGGCTCTGTATGTTGTGATGGCTCTGTATGTTGTGATGGCTCTGTATGTTGTGATGGCTCTGTATGTTGTGATGGCTCTGTGTGGGCACTGTATGTTGTGATGGCTCTTTGCACACTCTATATGTTGTGATGGCTCTGTGTGGGCTCTGTATGTTGTGATGGCTCTGTGTGGGCACTGTATGTTGTGATGGCTCTTTGCACACTCTGTATGTTGTGATGGCTCTGTGTGTTGTGATGGCTCTGTGTGGGCACTGTATGTTGTGATGGCTCTTTGCACACTCTATATGTTGTGATGGCTCTGTATGTTGTGATGGCTCTGTATGGGCTCTGTATGTTGTGATGGCTCTGTATGTTGTGATGGCTCTGTATGTTTTGAGGGTATGATATTCTTTGAGACTTTTGTATATTGTGGGTCTTGTGCATACTGTGAGACTGTCATATGTCAGAGTTTTATATGCTGTAAAGTGTTAGTATGCTTTGAGGCCTGATGCTGTTAATCATATGAAATTGCGATACTTTTGGATGTTATGAGACTTTTGTATGCTGTGAGTTTATAATCCCCCAGGAACAGAATGTGGGGGGATATAGTAAACGACACGTCTCTCTGTCTGTCCATCCATCCGTAATCATTTCGTTTCTGGGTCTTAACTCTAAAACATCAATAAAGATTGGTAGATATATCAAACAGAACCTAAAGTGGTGCCTTCTGCTATTAACAGATTTTTGGCATTTGTGTTTTTCTCGATTTACATGGAAATAATTTGGACTTAGTCTCAAAGGGAGGGTGGAACACAAATGAAAACGTTCAATATCTTTCAACAAACCTTGGCAGGTATATCAAACAGCCCCCAGTGATGCCTTTTGCTGTTAGGGTTTATTAATACTTGTATTTTTTCCTGTGGCGTTGATATTGGTGTGTACCTGAAATAGAAGTACCAAATTCTGAATCAAATTCCATGTTATTGTTTTGATAGCTCAATAACTACCCCATGTATATGAATGGACATATTTCACAGAAATTCTCTCATCAAGTTGGACTTTTTAAGTAACTCTCAGATGATTTGTTCTTTCAAATTTGAGGGGGCCAGGGGTATTTTGTACATTTTGAGTTTTTAAAAATGGAATGAAGCTCTTGTCAAGGCTAGAAAGCGATTCTTGAGGCTGTGTGTGTATATTTGAGTGTCTGAGAGAGATGTACAGGTGTGTGTGTATATTTGAGTGTCTGAGAGAGATGTACAGTGTGTGTATATATATTTGAGTGTCTGAGAGAGATGTACAAAGGTGTGTGTGTATTTGAGTGTCTGAGAGAGATGTACAGGTGTGTGTGTATATTTGAGTGTCTGAGAGAGATGCACAGGTGTGTGTGTGTATATTTGAATGTCTGAGAGAGATGTACAGGTGTGTGTGTATATTTGAGTGTCTGAGAGATGTACAGGTGTGTGTGTGTATATTTGAGTGTCTGAGGGAGAGATGTACAGGTGTGTGTATATATTTGAGTGTCTGAGAGAGATGTACAGGTGTGTGTGTATATTTGAGTGTCTGAGAGAGATGTACAGGTGTGTGTGTGTATATTTGAGTGTCTGAGAGAGAGAGATGTACAGGTGTGTGTGTATGTTTGAGTGTCTGAGAGAGAGATGTACAGATATGTGTGTATATTTGAGTGTCTGAGAGAGATGTACAGGTGTGTGTGTGTATATTTGAGGTGTCTGAGAGATGTACAGGTGTGTGTGTATATTTGAGTGTCTGAGGGAGAGATGTACAGGTGTGTGTGTGTGTATATTTGGCGTCTGAGAGAGATGTACAGCTGTGTGTGTATATTTGAGTGTCTGAGAGAGATGTACAGGTGTGTGTATATATTTGAGTGTCTGAGAGAGATGTACAAGGTGGTGTGTGTGTATTTGAGTGTCTGAGAGAGATGTACAGGTGTGTGTGTATATTTGGAGTGTCTGAGAGAGATGCACAGGTGTGTGTGTATATGTTGAATGTCTGAGAGAGAGATGTACAGGTGTGTGTGTATATTTGAGTGTCTGAGAGATGTACAGATATATGTGTGTATATTTGAGTGTCTGAGAGAGATGTACAGGTGTGTGTGTGTATATTTGAGTGTCTGAGAGAGATGTACAGGTGTGTGTGTCTATTTGAGTGTCAATGAGAGAGATGTACAGGTGTGTGTATATATTTGAGTGTCTGAGAGAGAGATGTACAGGTGTGTGTGTATATTTGAGTGTCTGAGAGAGAGATGTACAGGTGTGTGTGTCTATTTGGAGTGTCTGAGAGAGATGTACAGGTGTGTGTGTCTATTTGAGTGTCTGAGAGAGAGAGATGTACACAGGTGTGTGTGTATATTTGAGTGTCTAGAGAGAGATGTACAGGTGTGTGTGGCATATTTCAGCATCTGAGAGAGATGTACAGGTGTGTGTATATATTTGAGTGTCTGAGAGAGATGTACAGGTGTGTGTGTGTATATTTGGAGTGTCTGAGAGAGATGTACAGGGTGTGTGTGTATATTTGAGTGTCTCTGAGAGAGATGTACAGGTGTGTGTGTATATTTGAGAGTGTCTGAGAGATGTACAGGTGTGTGTGTATATTTGAGTGTCTGAGAGAGATGTACAGGTGTGTGTATATATTTGAGTGTCTGAGAGAGATGTACAGGTGTGTGTGTATATTTGAGTGTCTGAGAGAGATGTACAGGTGTGTGTGTGTATATTTGAGTGTCTGAGAGAGATGTACAGGTGTGTGTATATATTTGAGTGTCTGAGAGAGATGTACAGGTGTGTGTGTATATTTGAGTGTCTGAGAAAGATTTACAGGTGTGTGTGTATATTTGAGTGTCTGAGAAAGATTTTCAAGTGTATGTGTATATTTGAGTTTCTGAGAGAGATTTACAGGTGTGTGTGTATTTGAGTGTCTGAGAGAGATGTACAGGCACTGAACTAGTTCTCAGAAGCTTTCACCATAGTAGTAAATGGCACAGGCATGCATTACTAGTCACTAATCATTTAAAGCTGGGCGGCGATGAGAAGTAAGGGAACTGTATCTCAAATATTAATTGATTGAATTACAGTGACATTTCTTGTATACTGACCCATAAAGATCCGTGTTAGAACTGATCTTCAGCAACCCATGCTTGTCGTAAGAGGCGATTATGGGATTGGGTGGCCAGGCTCACTGACTTGGTTGACACATGTCATTGTATCCCAATTGCATAGATTGATGCTCATGCTGTTGATCACTAGATTGTCTGGTCCAGGCTCGATTATTTACAGACTGCCGCCATATAGCTGAATTATTGCTGAGTGCGGCGTAAAACTAAACTCATTCACTCACTCACCCACTCACTTCTTGTGTACATGGATCCATCATATGACATTTGTTTGTTATCTGCAGGCAACAATGGCCAGCTCTCTGCCGATCTATGGAGTGGGCCAACTAGTCAGCGTCCTACACTTCTGCCTGCTCTACTCTCTCTACACCTTCGAGTACAAGTGGTACAACATGGGTGAGACCCTGCCTATATTGCCAAAACATTGTAAACATTCCAACTTCCCAGCTGACCCGTCTTTGGAGTTCCCAAAACCTAAACCTTTTATTATTTTTCTGAGTTGTAACTGTAGTTTTAGTGCAACGAAATTCATCCTCACTGGACATTTTTAAGAAAGCTCTTAAAACTCATCTTTTTAAAGCTGCTTATTCCACATAATGTATCACTGGTTTTATCACTGCGTACAATGTTACTCCTTGTATGTGTTTTTACCATGTGTTAGATGTTTCATCTTTTAGCATCACTTGTATACCACCTGTATATCACCATACGGTATTTTATATGTTAAGCGCCTTAGAGTGTTTTTTAAATAAGCAAATAAGGCGCTATACAAATCTTGTGTATTATTATTATTATTATTATTATTATTATTATTAACAACTGTAAATACACAAGCCCAACACCAGTCATTCTCCTTAATATGGTGAGAATCAGTTGTTGTTTGAAAAAAGACTTTTACTGATATACTGCAAGAAAAGAGGTAAAGCAAAACAAATAACCTACCAGTCCATCCTGGATTCCCCGATTCCAGGGTTACAGAAGTCATCCTTGAAATTACCTTTTGATGCAGAAAAGCATTATGGTCTGAAAAGCGATTTTCATGCAGAATATCTACAGAATTTGCCATTTTTCTGCCATTGGAATTATATAATAAACACAGGTTCCCACTTTATGTACCAACGAAACATATCATTTTGACACTGATTTTTAAGGGTCAAGTTAGGGGCTTATCTATGACATCGGCTTATCTGCTGTAATATATGGTACCTTCCAGGGCTCCAGATAATTTTTCAACATCAGGAGTACGTACTCCTTATTTATTCAATATAGGAGTACTGGAAAACTTAAGAGTACATTTAGAGTACTGAATGGAATTTAATGGCGTATCAGTAATCTTGTGTTTCGTTTCATATATGCACCACAACATTGCTACTCTTGTGTAAACAGGTCAATAAACAATAAAACAATAATTTTTCACATAAATCGTCTGTAAATGATTCTAAGAGCACACAATTGCTGTGTAGTGCGTATCTGCTATGTTTTTAAACTATTTCCTACCGTATCGTGCATATTTTTATCCGTACATACGCAGATACGGCCTTTATCTGGAGCCCTGACCTACGCTATTTTCTACTTGGCTCAAATAGGAAACACAAACATCTTTTTTCATTTCATTGAATCCATAGTAAACAAGGGGTAATTTGCCATGCAGAGTAGTGTCCCTTTGCTGTGCCAGAATCCTTTTGAACTAGATTCGAACCCTAGATTTACCTTATTTGCAGTTCAGAATGTGAGTGATGATGATGATGATGATGATGATGATGATGATGATGATGATGTGAATACTCATCTCAATTGTTTTCACTTCAGGTTTAGAAGTGCACACTCGACTGTCATTGATAGAGGTCAACTGGCCCTACTTTGTTGGGTTTGGCCTGCCCATGGCATTGGCAACGTCGCTATCTTCCTCAACTGTGATAAGGTTGGTAACAAGCAGCTAACATCTCAACAACATGGAATGGGAGAAGCTTCAGTCTATACATGGGAAAATATTTCTTGACTCATGTTATTGGAAAGATATGTAGCCCAGTGGTTACAGCGTTCACTTGTCAAACCTGGGTTCGATTCCCCACTTAGATACAATATGTATAACCCCTTACAACCCTGATGTGAGAGTGCTATGATTTTGCTTAATTGGTTGAAGTCATACTTGACGATGCTTGTTGTAGAAATCCCTTACTGGTGACACTGACGTGCATGTTATTGCAATAATATTGGTAAAAACAGTGGAACAGTTCTTTCAGCATTATCGGTATTGTACGCTGATGCAAAATGTGTCCATTTCCCTGTCTCTCCATTCTCAACTATCCAGGGTATTATTTATCCTATGATAGGAAGTACACAAGCTTCGTAAATATGGTATCTAATGAGAACTTGCGTGGTATTGTATTTTGCAATCCACCTTTTGAATAAATTACAGTTGATCTTTATACATATTTGTTTACATTTTATCTTCACAACCAAAACTGTTTTAAGATTATGTGATCAAGTGATATAATTTTGTACATATTGTATTCATGAACCGAAACTGGTTGAAGAAAGATATACTATGTACCGCGACCATGGTTGACAAACCCATATGACACAGGCCAACCTTTTACTTCGCTCATTTTGGATCTTACCATCTGTTCGTTCACAACAGCCGTAATAAAAGTGGTGATGAGACCACCGCCATATAGCTGGAAGCTGAAATATTGTGGCGTAAAACTCAACTCAACTCACTCACTTCCCATGTGTTCGTTCAGCACAGCTGTAATAAAAGTCGTGATCTTGTGATGATTTCAGTGTCTATTTCAGTGGCTGCATCTTCTCCATCTTGTTCCCGCTCTTCATCATCAGTGCCAATGATGCTCAGGAGCCTGCACAGCCTTTGTGAGTAGAGATGTAGAGGTTCCTCATGTAGTGAGGCATGGGGTTGAGACATTCGCTCATCCTGTGTTCGATTTAGGTGTCCCCTGCTGTGAGATAAATATTATAAGTTGTTCACTGGTCTCGAGGGGGACATGGGCTGATGTGCCCTCGATGCCCATGGGCCCTGAGGGACCAGTGAACAACGTATTTATCCTACCGAACACCTCAATGATAATTTTAAACTGTTTGAAGCACGGGTATCAGATCATAGTATGGAGTACCAGAAGACAAGATGACAAGAAAAACAAATTTAGAGTTATCTCCCTTCCATCGATTTGCATTCGCAAAACATCTGTAATTTCCGTACAGCATACATGATACAATGTTATTCGAGATAAAGAATTACTGCTACGAAGTACCAAATGAGTTCAGCATTCCCAGCGGGGTACATTGAAAATATTAGAAGAACGCTCAGCCAATCAGAAAACGACATTTGTGTTTGAGGCAAGATAAAGATTATTGTATTATTGTTTAAAGCTGGGAAAAGCCATTCTTACTCCCGCACATTGATCACAGATCTACCATCCCATATCTCAGCCTGCTTCTTGATAACTACTGTGCCATTTATTACTAACAAGCATATTTCATGGCTGACTTTTACCAATGTTAAGTGATTGAGAGTGTGATTAGTTTAATTTGCTTGCATAACATTTGAGAGTTGTGCCGATTATGTGCCTCTTCTACTTTGAGGTGCCTGTTGCCCTTGCTTACCAACCAGAGTTACCTTTCCTGGTTTCGTCGTTGAAGAAATTGTTGCAATGATGGGGCAATGATTTGATGTCAGAATTATGGGGGGTCTTTGCTTGACATTTTAACTTCAGACCCGCGAAGATCCAGGTTAGAATGAACCTTCAGTAACCCATACTTGTCGTAAGAGGCGACTAACAGGATCGGGTGGTCAGGCTCGCTGGCTTGGTTGACACATGTCATCGGTTCCCAATTGCGCAGGTCGATGCTGATGCTGTTGATTACTGGATTGTCTGGTCTTAGACTCGATTATTTACAGACCGCCGCCATATAGCTGGAATATTGCTGAGTGCGGCGTAAAACTCAACTCACTCACTTTTAACTTCAGACAACATATTCAGAAAATGCTACAGTGGCGTGTCAATGTTTTGAAAACTGAATGTAGTATGTACCTGGTGTGCTTAATGCGTCATGATGATTCCACACTACAAACTGTGATTGTCTGAAACTGTTATTAAAGGAATCACATTGTCAAGCTTGTATCCCACATATGTGGATCGATGCTCTCACTCACTAGGTTATTTATGAAAAATGCTGTCATGTTGAAGGAATATTGCTAAATGCAACAAAACACAGAAACATATTACATTGCTTCTGATGAAGTCTGCTGAAGATTGCTGATTATTGCAGAGAACATTGACTAAACATTCATTCTTTCATTCGAAGCCGCCTCGGTGGTGTAGTGTGGTTAGAGAGTCCGCCGGAGAAAGCGGAAGGTCAGCGGAGTTTGATCCCCGACCGCGTCATACCAAAAAGACGTTAAAATATGGGACTTGTTGGTCCCTGCCTGGCGCTCGGCATTAATGGGTACAACAAGGACTGGTCGGCTCGGAGTCAGTATAATGTGTCTGAGTGGGGTATTCATGCTTCACTGCGGCATGGTATCTCAGTGGGCTAGCACTATAAAAACAGCTTAAGTCTGGGCTGGTACAAGCAGCCGCACATACACATACACATGCATGCACGTCGTCATATGAGCGAAATATTCTCAAGCACGACGTAAAACCCAATTTCACCTCATTCTTTCATTCCTTCTTTCAGTGAGTTCCCGTTAAAGCTGTTCACACCCGTAAGAGTCATCACCAATGCTGTATTCCACCGATCTATGACCAACAAAACCAGGAACCCATCTGGTAACCAAGCAACACCCAAAAGGACACCAACCCATGATGCCAAACCATCTAGGTGATCCTTGACCATGTCTGCAAGAACGCCAGACAGTGACCTACTTTGATGACATGGAATAAGACAAAACAATGAACGTCAGGGTCAAAGGGATGATGAAGATCAAGGTCAGAGGGATGATGCAGGTCAAGGTCAATTATTAGAACAATGGACAGTGCCAAATTCACAGATCAAATAAATCTCAAGGAAAAATGGTGAACATTTAAAGGACAAAGGAGCTTCGAAGAGTAAAGCAGAAAATTTAAACTCATATAATACCTTTCCTTCAGTTATAATATTTTGCCAGTAGTGATGTCTCTTTTTATGTCTTGCAATCTGTCTTACACTGTATACTTTTAAACTTGCTATAGTGTGGTAGTGCAAAACAATATCTAATATTTCACAGAATGTAAATGTACTCACAGTGAAACGTTCAAGGTGGACCTGACTTTACAGTCAAAGACTAGGAGTATCAGTGTATATATATACATGGAAGGATAACCACATGGTATGACATACAGATTATATGTCCCTAGGCAATCAATTGTTTTATGAGCGCGAGATAATCTGTATATCGTGTTTGCTGGTATATATTACACTATTAGTCGCGATATGCTTGAAATATTGCCGATGTGACTTATAATCTTAACTCACTCACTATATTACACTTTACATTACGTATCCATTTGTTTTGAGAGAATGTGGGTTTGGATCACAAGTGGAGACGTCAGCTCAGTCTGTGAATTCAAAAATGACATAATTTACTATAATGTGTTGCTCTGGTGACATTGCCGGAGACAAGGATGAAATTGGGGATCATTCATAATTTGTGGCTAGGGGAGGGGTGATGATGATTTCTGTGGAGAAGCATGTACATTGTGAATGCGCGCCCCCACCCCACCCCCCTAAAGTGTATGTACAAAGTAAGTGAACCTCCCCTGCATGTCATGTACAAAATCAATACCAGCTACCTTCCCATAATTTCTAAGCATCTTTTTAAATATCTTAATCTATAAAATTGAGTCCCCCCATCCCATACAGGTGTACAAAATTGATGACCCCACTAACTCCACAGAACAACAACCCCCACCCCCACCCCCTCTCCTTAAAATAATCATCATCATCATCACCCCAGCCATAAATTATGAGCGGTCCCTTGGAACATTTGTCAAGCCAACACCATAAAGCAAATATTGTAATACACTGTGAAAGATTCTGACAAAATTGTATATAAAATCCAAGGTATGGTTTGTCCTTATCATAATGTTGCCATTTTCATTCCTATTGTTCAAATCCGCGATGTGTGTACAGGTGTCATGACTCTCCGAACTGACGAGAAACCCTTGAAGATCTGGCTTAGAATTGGTCTTTGCAAGCCCACAGCTTTGGCGTAAGAGGCGACTAACGGGATCGGGTGGTCAGGTTCGCTGACTTGGTTGACACATGTCATCGCATTATCCCAATTGCATAGATCGATGCTCATGATGTTAATCGCTGGATGCCTAAAATATGCCTAAAATTAAGAAGTCTCACCATCTTGCAATAAGATTTATGAAATGGATGTCAGTCTTTTAATTTGACATATATAGCAATTAGGGGTGGGCGATAACACTGGTTAACCAGTATATTGCAATTTGAACATCACAATATGATATATATTAGCGGTACACTTCTGTGAACCAATTCACCCAATCACGATCAGCAATTTCCGTGACCATGATCGGTAATGATAGCGTGATGTGGTCAAAAATATTAATAACATTTGTATTATACATTAATAGTTTGAGAATGTTTATTGGTCATATAATTGCATTTGCATGACTTTTAAACCATATAAATAAAAAAAATAGATGGTACCAGGACTCGTATTGATAAACAGACGCTTTTTCTCCAGTTCAAAACTTTAGAGTGAAGTCTTCAATTTGGAAACATTTTCTATTAATCCTTTGTACAATCACATCTGAGTCCTGACAGTGGCCAGCTGCATTGTTTCAAAAGAAAGGAAACAGTAATTCCATTACCTTAACCCGTGTGTTACACTTTCACAATATATCGCACTACATATTGCAGTCGCGCCAACACATATCACAATATATATCGCAGTATGAACATTTTGGCAATACCCAACCCAAAATAGCAATGCCTGTTAAAATGTGTTGGCCAGGATACAGCGGCTGAGTAAATATTCTGTTACCATGGTTACAATGTACAAAGGTTCATTCCTTGGGTGAGTGCGAATCAAGAATTGTTCTGAAATAAACATAGGACTGGGACCCAATCCACAAAGTGCAGAACAATAGTTCACAACACTATGAACATTCTGTGGATAAGCATTTGTTATAGTCGTTTGGCTCAAAAGCGGACCGATGAATTGCAATCTAACGAAAACTTATAAACATAAAATACTCAATGAAACACTGATCATAATGAAAGCGTCAGACCAACTCTGAGAGGTGTTTGCAGAATTTATGTCCTAAAATAAGAAAGTTGTTTAACAAACTATCATTAAAATATCGACACAGTTCACTATTTGTTACGAGGAGGAGTGCAGAGAAAGGGACAGCCGGTGTGTGAGAAAGGATGGAGAGCGGCACAGCACAGGTTAATGAATCAATAACTTTGTTGGCACTTGTGCACATGCTTCTCTAACACCTGGCTGTCCTTTCTCTATAGGTATAACTTACGGTAAGTTGTGGTATTTCTGACCCCCAAAATATTCTATTCTATTTATGTTCATGGAATATTGTGTTTATTAATATATAATTTATGGTATGTTTGCAGCAGGGTGTCAGAGATCTGAGATGACATCCTTACTTTGTCAGCTTTCTGTCAGGGTCAGTCTTGGTTCATTAAGTAACTACTGCGTGTCATTTCTGGCAAGCCGGATTTACGTCTCATACCCCTCTCGTGTCCATGTTTAGGAATGGACCCTGTCTAATGCAAAAGCGGGCATGGAGATGAAAATAGTCTAGTACTATTACCAAGGAAAGATAACTCTGAATTTCCAAACATGGCTCCTAGAATATCCTATATCCCGAGGGCAAAACAGCAATAGTCATTCCCTTTGTAAATATATTTCAGTGTCTAAAGTTGCTTATCTCTTTAGCTCAAAGTTTATGCTTAAATTGTGCTTTTCATGGTTTTAGCGATGTTTCAAATTTTAACGATTGCAGCCATTTTCATGCTTCGAAATGCATTTTTTACCATCGCTCGATTTGATTGGTTTGCCACGATTCTTGGCAATAATGATGCGTCTCGCGATAGGGATCACGACTCTTCTTGCAGGTCACGGGAAAGAGGCAAGTAGTTACTTAATGGTCTCAGTTGTCTCAACCTCAGATCAAGTTCATTGGCTTCATTCCCATTATGAGTGAGTGAGTTTAGTTTTACACCAATATTCCAGCAATATCACGAGCAGGGACACCGAACTGGGCTTCACATATTGTACCCATGTTGGGAATCGAACCTGGATCTTCTTTGTGCCGAAAGTGAACACCATAACCACTATGCTACTCATAGCCGCTACTTGCGTTTTATGAAGGAACGAGTGTGAATAGAGATAACCTCGGTTGATGGTAATTCAGATATACTACTTTGTGGCATCTTGATGAAGGATGAAAACTTCAGACGCGTTTACCATGTCGGCAGATACTGCGTGGGTCAGCTTAGTGGTTATGGCGTTAAGCTCGCCACACTGAAGAGCAAGTGAGTTTTGTTTACTGGCCGCACTCAGCAATATTCCAGCTTTATGGCAGCGGTCTGTAAATAATCGAGTCTGGACCAGTCAATCCCAGTGATCAACAGCATGAGCATCGATTCTGCTGTGAACTGGGAACTGATGACATGTGTCAACCAAGCCATGAGCCTGAGCACCCGATCCCATTAGTCTTCTCTTAAGCCAAGCATGGGTTACTGAAGGTTCATTCTAACTCGGACCTTCACGGGTTCACACCAAGACCCTGCTCAGAATCCCCATTATGATAAATGTTCTGTATATACCGCATGTGGCAAAGAAGAACGTATGTTGTCAGCTATTCAGTATTGATACCATAGCAGTTGGTGATGAGGTGATGGTCATATGCTTCATTCTTCGGGTTCCATGACGGGTGATTGGGTAGCCTAGTGGTTAAAAGTTTGTCACTTTGAAGACCCGGTTCGATTCCCCACATGGAGTGCAATAATTGAAGCCCGATTATGGTGTCTGGCTGTGATATTGCTGGAATATTGCTAAAAGCAGCATAAAACTAAAACCACTCCTCTCAATTAACTTGGGCTATTGCCACCAGATGTCTTACCTCGCCAATGGTGAAGTTGGGCACTGTACAATCCTAAATGGATAGATTTGACTTTTGAAATTTATAGATATTTCTTGCTCCAGGATTGTTTTAAAGAAATTGCCATTGCATAGCAATTAGCACATAAATTCGCATTTGTATCTTAAAATATTGTAAGGTATGTAAAAGAATTGTTTTGTGCTAGCCTTTGGTGAACTTACATATACCGGCTATGTAAATTGCTTGATTCCTGATATATGATGTTACAGAAAAACAATGTGTTATATCGTGATCTCATTCTTAAGAGGCTGTGGGTAGCCTAGTGGTTAAAGCGTGCCTCTTCATGCGAGGACCGGCACCGATTCCTCACATGGGTACAATGGAGTGGAAACCCATTTCTGAATTGATGTCCCCATGAGTGAGATTGCTGGAATATTGCTAAAAGCGGTGTAAAATTAAACTCACTCACTCATTCTTAAGAGAACTCAAGGTTGCGAAAAGTTGCTGTTCACTATTATTTGCTTCAGAAGAAGTGCGAGAAAGAATACAAAGCCTCGATGAACGGCTACAATGTAGTGCCAAAATAGTTGCAGCCATGTTTGTTAACCTCGTAATGATCGCTATCATCAAGAAACCACTTTCTGATCTGTTTAGAGAACATTCTGTGATAGTTGTTTAGTTACCAAAGGATGTACAAAGCTTACTGAAAGTAGTTCCTTATAAATTTGGTGACCTCACTCGTCCCATTTCTATTAGATTATGACAATGCAGTTAATTACAGCATAGATAACGCTGTCCATTATATAATAATCAGTTTAGTCGCTTTTAATATTTTGGGTTTGTAGTAAATGATTATGTTTCTGTTAGGCACAGATGGAATAACAAAACTGACTGGACTGACTGACTGACTGACTGACAGACTGGAAGGAGTTTAAGTTTTTCGCCCGCGCTTGGCAATCATTCCCGCTTAATAGTCGGCACGGGGACACCAGAAATGTGGCTTAACACATTGTGTCCATGTGGGGAATCGAACCCGGTCTTTTGGCGTGACGAGCCATGGCTTTAACCACTAGGTTGTTGACCACTGCCCCCACAAAACACCTCTGTGGGGGCAAACATCGATGGCTAGAAATATATGAAGATCCATGGTGAAGAAATATTGCTAACTTTCTAATT